CAAAATACAGCTTTTCAGTGCTAGATATACAGCCTAAAAGAACATCAGACGAAATAAAATGTTTAGGCAGGTAACCTCGATGAAAACTGTTTATAATAGACATAAAGACACAATAAATGTATATCGACTAATGCATATTGAAGGAAAACTTGATTTGATCTTGAATTACAAAAAAAGTGAACATTTAAGTGAGGAAGTGAGCATGGTTTTAATCTTTTTATTGACAACCTAGGTGTGCAGGTATGCCATGAACATCGGATAAACTAAACAATCGTGAAACTACCCTGCTCTCACATCGAAATAGAGATCTAGCAAGTTAGGCATATATTTTGTTTTATTAATTATTTCAACATGTAGAGAAAATATTCTTTAACTTTCCCAATGTTACAAGAAAAACTACTTGTAGCTCGATTAATTTATAATAACCCTGACCTCAGTATATTGAAGAGCTATATAAAAATGACTAAAAATTATCGGGAAAAATTACTGCTAAATTTAAACACAATATCAAGGAACTTGATGTAGTTTTCTCTTCGAATGCTTTGGAAAAGACCGAGAAGCGATTAGATTGGAATTCATTTACTGAATATACAACGGGATGAGAAAATATGCCATTGAACTGAAACTAATAAAAAGGTTGGCGGATGAAGCTTTAAAGTGATTAAACATTTTTTAAGAAACACTATTCGACAGCTTACAAATCACGAGAAAACTATAAAGTTGTGGACTTTCAATGTGATATTTCAGGACTGAAATTCTAAAATGGAGAAACGTTAAAAAATCTCTAACGCTTTTTTAGCATCTACTACAATACCAATAAATGAGAACGACGTTGTAGAAGAATGCCTTGTTTCAGATGGCCCTGGTACACTGCGAAAATTAGATCTCGTTTATACAGTTACGGTTGTCAAAATATAATCAGTTTATTATGTAAATCTTCTTAAACCCAGTAAGACAGAAAAATATGATAAAAATCCATCCACATCATCAATCAAAATGGCGAATGTACCTTTAAAGTTATATAATTTGTAAGTACAGTCTACTAGAAGTGGAATTTGGAATGCCCGTTTCGTTTTCTTTGGGACGTGTCAGCCGGATTTTTGTTCACCCATTCCGATTTTTGGTAATCACAACAGGCGAAAATTGAAAGAACAGCATTATCGTGCATCCAATAAAATGGTCACTGTTATTGCGAAAAGTTGAAAAATATAGGAAAACAGCGGTTAGTAATTACAGTCCGGTTTATATTTACATTATTTGTTTATCATACATACGTGACTTACACATGTTGACAACATTTTCCTATCTGATAATAATAGACTTATCCATTCAAAAAAGGTACTCAACTAATAAATCCCTGAGGAAAATTAATTTCATAAAGCTATTAGCATAGAATTAAAAGTTCAGCTAAATCAATTAGTTTATTGTTTTATTTCATTGGCAAATATGAATTTAGGCATATTTCAAAAAATGTAATTATTCTTCACTTATTATTATGACTATTCAGTAGTAATGTAATGAACAAAACTTTCAGATAAATTGAAAAATTATAACAATTATCAGATGTAGTTGAAAACATGATTGGATGATTCATTAACAACTGATTCAATTGTTTGATGCGAAAGGCTTATGTGAAATAAAATTTGCTTGGATAAATATAAGAGTTGATGTAACAAAGATAACGCCAAAAATGACAAGTGATAACTACTTTTCTGAGTATTTATTGAAATACATAACTAAATGAACTTCAATAAAATTTCACAAACACTGTTAGTAACCTTATGAATACGTTTAGATGTTCCTGTTTAAGATATGATTACACTTTAGAACAAAGAGTGCGAAACATACATTATTCATCAAAAAATAATAACTGACAGTCATACCCATTTGACCGTTTGAATATTCATTTCGGTAAAAATAACTGTAAACCTGAAATTGATCTCATTTCCATCAAAAAAGCAAAGTAGTTTTCTGAATAGGTATTCAAATGGCCAGTAGAGTTCAACGGTTTTTTAGTTATGAGTCAGTTTCCCACCAAAAATAATGGTTCGTGGTCACACAGTATCATGGATTGATGGTTATATATGAACATTAAATATTGATTCAGAGGTGAAGCATTTGCGCGCGAGACCAAAGATCCTGGGTTAGATTACTTTGTGCAGAGTTGTGGCCGCACACTGTTAATGTTTTCCAAACTAGAATGACAGAGTCGTCCAGTGCTTCAAAGTTTATACTAGTAGTCTGACATTAATCGATTTAAGATTTCAATGAGATTAATATGTTTTATGAATCCAGTCAACAGAAATATCAGTTTACGCTAATGTGTGTGAATAATGACAAATTTTCATTTTATAAAGTTTGACATCACTGGTTATTGTTGGCAATGTGGAAGAATATTCCATTAATTAATGGTACCGCGAGGTGAATAGTAAAGAAACCCTTCTTGTATAATGTATTTTCGAAAAAGATTAACAGCAAGCAATGTCAGTGCTGATATTCTGCCGCAAATTATTTTAAAATACGTAGCACTTTTTGAAGTAGATTAAAAAAAATTCATTCTGTTATTATATTGATTTTTATAAATAATTCCAGCGAACAATCAAGGTTTTGGTAACCATATCTAATTCTGGAATCTCGCCGACAACAGATGAAGCTAACAATTAGTAAAATAAGGCAAGGATACACTTTTAAAACGTAACGTGTTTTTACTTCCAGCCTATCACTTTTATATTTTGGAACCATGACCCTATGATCGGAGTCTTCAAAAGACTCATTGTTTTCAAAAATCTATTATTCCAAGTAATCCAGATATAACTTAAATTGAAATATAGAATTAACCAAAAGTATTTAGTAGAATAAAATTTTACGGATATCATTTCCAACAATTTTCCGTATTGAATGGGGTATAATTTATTAATTGTAGGATAAAATTAATAAAAAAGTTCACGGCCAGTAATTTGAACATTATCATGTAGCTATACAATATCTAAAATGTCATTTATATGATTTACAGAAATAAATGAATGAGATTTAATTTCGCTTTATAAGTAGTTTCACATGAATTTTTATTCTGCGTTTTAAACTGTCACCTGTTTGTGCAACACTATTGATTATCATGATTCTATCGTTAGTATTAGAAAGCATTTGAAAGCGTGGACAATATAACACTATGGAGGCTACTTCGATACTACTGTTTACCTGAGAATGTAGTCAACAACACACGGAGTTATTATGATGGATTAAACTGTGAGATCATGTATGGAGGACAGCTGTCAGACTCGTTCCAATTGAAGAATGATGTCACGGAATGTTGTTTACTCTCACCATTTCTCTTCATCTTGGTAGTCCACTGGATTACGACGAATTCAACATCTCAGGGGAAGCTAGGGATTAAGTTTACATCTGGACGATTTAGACATCGCAAACGACCTAGATCTACTAAACCACACACAGCAACAAATGCAGATGAACTCGGCCAGTGTAGCAGTTTCCGCTTTAGCAGTAGGTCTAAACATACATGGCACAAGAAACAAGATTCTAAAATACAACACAGCAAGCACCATTCAAACCACATTTGATGGAGAAACTTCAGAAGATGTGAAAACCTTTACATATCTGAGAAGCATCATTGATGAGCAAGGTAGATCTAATGCAGATGATAAGATACAAATTAGCAAACAAATGAAAGCATTTCTATCATTAAACAGCATCTGCAACTGAACAATTCTCAACCAACTACAAAGTCAGACTTTTTAAACGAACGTCAAAACAGTTTTGTTGTACGGAAAGGAAACTTTGAGAACTGTGAAAGCAGAAATCAACCCACTACGTCATGAAGCAAGCATTAAATTGGAACCCTCGGGATCAAAGGAAAAGAGGTGGGCCAAAAAACACACTGGTTCTGGAATCAGAGATAGGCATGAAAAGAATGACGAGTAATCGAACCTTAACTGGAAAGGAATGACCAGGCTGGAGTTGGTTGAAGAATGCTGACCTATTCTCCATTAGGTGCAATATGCGTTAGTAAGTAGGTAAGTAATCATGAAATCACTTCAACATGCATCTGCAGACTGCAATGAGTAAATGATTTTTAATAACTCAATATATGTTTGAAATAAAATGTGTCAAAAAGGAAAGAAACCAACTTTTGTATAAGATTACATCGATGGAACCTTATTTATTTTAATTAATAAAAGTTTTTTTTTCATTTCAAAGCAGAAAACACAAATAAGTTCTTTTTTTTCTAATAATTAGTTCTAGATGATTGATCGAAATCAGTAAATATTCGTGTACTGTAGTAGGTTTGGTCCATCCCACTCATACGCATGAAACGAAACTAATAGTAATAGTAGTAGTAGTAAGAAATAAAGCAATTTTTTAATTAGAATAATTATATCCGCTATGCTTCACTAAAGTAATTTCTTTTTGTGTTTCATTATTAAATAAACAAACATCTACTTTTAAGAATTATATTAGTAAAACTAATGATTGATGATGAGAAGGCTGTGAAATATTTATGAAATTTTAAAAAATAACACTATAGGGAATGTCACAACCGATTCACTATATAACTACGAATAAAATATTATAGGAAACAGGAAATAATTGTTTGAGTCAAGATAATTTTTTCATTAATAATAATAATAATGTTAATAATAATAATAATAATAATAAAAATTAAGTTTCATATTCGAGCGATACAATTATACAGAAGAAGAAACTATTGAAATGGAAACTATTGCAATTTCCCTTAAGTAGTAAACATATGTAATAAGTTAATTTAAGACTATCAGAGCATACGTAAGATAATCCTATCCTACTCACTAACTAAGAAATATAAATGGAATGAAGTCAACTCAAATATTACCGTATCATTGAATGAGTTAGTCTATCTGATCTCAGGGTACATTCTTATTGGTTAATCTGTAAGCAATGATGTCTAATTCCCATCTCATTTAGAAAGTGGGAAAAAAAATTAGCTCAATGTTTCCATTATCATTTGTAGATTGCTGATTATCGAATTCAATGTTTAATTTTTTTTACACAAATTAACTGCATATATATAAAGATAAGTAGAAAGTTATCGTGAGATTTAAGTTTGACGTATAGAAAAAGTTTAATTTGACAACTATATAATAATATCCATGTAAGTAGTATGAATAATAATTTTGTTTTATTAGATCATTTATTATTTTTGTTAATTATTCCATAATTTAATATTGAATATATTGCCGATTTTATTTCAACCTCGAACTCGATAAACAGTCAATTATATACAACTGATTTGTAATTAGACTGACCACTTAAATTTATATATACTTCAATATAATATGGTTTTTTTTATATCTACAAATAGATATTCTTTCATAATTGGTCAGTCGTTTGTAAATGACAATAAACTTTTGTTTTATTAATCAACTGAATTTTTAAAAAGATTTTTATATCACTCAAGTTTAAATAAATTTGTCATAGATTAGATTATTATCTTCAATCAATTTTTGAAAGCCAAAGTGACATAATTATTTTAAACAGAAATTAATTCATATAGGTTATTCCATATTATACCTGAATCATTGTTAAGAAAAAATAAGCGAATCTCAAAAGTAACAGAATGAGTTCATCATAATCATTCAGAGGATTTTATCCTAGTTTACGCCTTTAATCTCTATTTGGTCAGCGATGTAAGAACTTATATTTTATGACGTTTTCAAGTTTGTTCCTAATATTCAACTTTAAATAAACTTATTTAAGAACACGTTTGATCAAATTTAAGTTTAAAATTTTCTATTAAGTGTTTAGGAAAATATTTATATACTTTTCTAACACTGTTGAAAATCCAACTAAACTTTTATAATGATGTCGGTTACATTACATGAAAATGAAGCAGTTATATAAACCACTAATACTAACCACTAGTAATTTGAATATCTTAGACAAGTTCATCTTAGTCATGGTCATTTATAAAAATGTGTTAAATGTTCATGTTTCATCTAATCCTAGGACTCACTATACATTGATTCATTGAAGCCTTACACAGTGTTAAAAATTTCATATTTTAACCGATAATGCGACTGTTCTGAATCATGTTGTCTATTTTACCTGGTACTAGTTTGGTATGATATGTCAACTATGCTCTACATTGACTATGACTGGGTGATATTTATGTAAAACGTGATTGTGATAGAAAGCATGATCAATCTTTGCTATGTTTCAAGATTGTAAAAATTATTGTCTATCCCAAAATGACTATATGATTACTTTTGAAATTATACAATTCTATTAAATAAAACTAATTCGTTTAATCTATACATGTATACATACTGAATTACGATCAGTTGGTTAGATCAGTATTTAGGGTAATTTATTTTAATAAGTAAAACTTTATTTGCCACAAATTTGTTAGGTTATTAATCTCCGAAGACCTTTTCACGCTTTGTCCTCTATAATATGTTTTCTAACTACATAAAAGTCACAGTAAACAAAGATTTTGACAATCTTTTTTTATCAAAAGAGAATGTACACAACTCATGATGTTTGAATATTTTAATAATTTTCAAGCACTTAGTAGAAAAGGCATTATCTCAAAGTATATAGTGTTTTTAAATGTTCTCCTTTACTTAAGTCACGAAAACGTACTCTTGTATGACTGGAGAAAGATATTTAAATTCTAGGACAGTTATTTCAATACAGGTGCTTTATAATGATGTGTTAGCTTAAATGTATCACAGATTAGGAGAAATTTTATTTTCTTGTTTCATATAAAACTCTACTTTGTGTACATAGTGTGACAGCTAGTTCTGTGATTATTTAATGTTACCAGAGTCAATTCATAAATGTATTGTGCCATAAATCATCAGGTAAAAAGCCCGTACTGTCTCTGAAAATAGATAATTTCGCTTCTTTTGTCCATTCATGGTTAGATAGTCTAGTGTTTTGCTAGTGTTTTATGATACTATATACTGACAAATATTGATAATTTAACAAAATGCTACTTCATGGAATGAGAGGATTTCATTTTATTTATTCATATTGTAATAACTAATAGCACAAATAGTAAGCTAGTTAAATAATATTATATAAATGAATTAAACAGAGTTTGTGGTTGAACTCAATAAGTTATAAGAAAACTTTTTTCAGCTATTTGAGTACATCATAAAATATTCCCAGTATTTTTATACTAAGAAACCTAAGTATCAATTAACTCTTTTGATCATAATATCAATATTTGAGGCAGACGAATTTTGACAAAAGTGATGACTACTTAAAAGTAGCCAACTGATTATCTCCTCGGAAAATTAAAGCAATTAGTCCCTTTGATAAATTTAGATAGAATGATAGGGAGGACGAAGATTATCAGGACTATCTAATATATTAGCACGATATATTTAGAGCAATGCGATCATACATATACTTATCAAGACCATTTATACATGAAAATAAAAGGCCCGCTAGACAAATGGAATGTTAAGGGATATTAAAGTTAAGGAAATAACAACAGTTTGAAACTCACTCTGGATAATAAATAACACAATATTACTATGGTAGGTTTAACGTTAGAAAAAACTGTTTCGTGTGGCCAAGGCTTCAAAAAACTGTAGTATACGTCCTTGAACATTTTTATACGATACATAATACAATAATAAATCAAGATATATCTTATGACTTATTTTATCAGTGGCAATAGCGAACGATGGACTTTTAGCGTCTACTCGTGTTGGGCCAACTGATTGTAATTGTTTCTGCAACCATATAGTCATACTATTAGTAGGTGTGGACAGTAATCAGCTCAGGAATCCAGGACGCGCGTTTTGTCCTATTCAGTGACTTTTCAGCTAGATGTGACTGTAGCTCAAAGTTGATGTTAACTCCAGTATTTTACATTTGAACTGCCAACGTGATATCCACCTCTGCTGATAGTGTTTGTAACCTGAAGGCAATATTGATGCGATCCGCATCGAATACAAATATTCCAAAGAGACTGATAAATCACATTTTTAAACACAAATGGGAAGATGAAAACAAGAATTAAAAATGAGTCATTTGGGTACATATTCAGATACCTTGATTGGCAAATCACAGTTATTCCTCTTCCTGTATATGTGGCCACATAAATATTTAAATTGATTAACGCAATGGGATGTGATGTAATCGTTTTTATGCTATACAAGCTTTCGATGAAGCATGAACCTCGTTTTTTTTCTATGAATATACAATTTCATTGCTGCAATAAAATTACAGTTAAAAATAGCGACTGCCGGAAGTAAAATTATACCTATAACATCCGAATATTTTCTCAATTTCACACTACAGTTTAATATTTAGTAAATAGTATTCAAGTTTAGGATATCTTTACATGTAATTTCGTAAAAACTATATTTCTTTACTTCAGAGTGACTTTTTTCCATCTTTGATTTATTTGATCCAATTTAAGACCACATATTCAGCACGTAATATTTGTTTATTATGACTTATGAATAATTTTCTGTAACCAAAATAATATCTTACTCATCGATAATTATTGCCAGTATGTGGTTGCAAGGAAATAAGAAACTCAGTTCCCTAGTTCAATAGTGACTGTATATCATATTAAAACAAAACGACTGTTTATTGCTTCCAGGTTTTCAATGGTGGTCTGATTGAGGATCATTCATGATATCAATGAAATATAAATATAATATTCAAAATCCATTCTTAAAAAAGTTTGCAACAAATCGAATTTTTTCAGCATAAATTTCAAAAGATCTAAGGTATTTCCCCATAATATGTTAGATGCGAACTAACTTTCATAAGAAAATTATAACTCTGTCAAGTACTGAACAAATAACCCAGAATTTTAATCTTTTGAGAATTACAATACACGTTTTACATTACAATAAATAAAACGTTATTAGTTGAATATCCAACAATGAATAACCTGATCACGCTTCTGCATTGCACAACAATCTTCACCAAATCAGGGACGTATTAAAACAACAGAAATATGGTAATAAAGACATATAAAACTTCCTGAAAATGTGGAAACGCTTTACAAGTCGAACTAATCGAAATGTTTAACATAAGTAATTGCATGTTCATAAATTATCGAAAACAAAATAATCATAATACTTTTCAGATGTATCAGTTAACGATTCGTTACTAAAATGCTTGTTTAAAATCCATTTTAGGTGATGACACATTCAAACAAGTTAACCAACAGTTCACTAGTTTCGGTAAAGAATATCTTTTTAACTGTATAACGATATTACTTTCTCATGAATATAAATTAAAAATGAGAATATTTCATGTCTTGAACTTAAACCACGCTAAATACTACTGCTAAAAGAATGTTGTTTAGAAAAAGCATTCTTATCAGTTATTTCCTATTCAATTAGAAATTTAAGTATTAAACATTGGTTCTTTCCGATTAGTAGAAGAGGTGCATTGGCTTGTGCGAAAACATAAAAGTTCTAATCAATAAAAAAATGTTTTTTTTTCCGCTAAATGAAATCACTGTAGACAACAGTGAAAACGAATGAGATAATATAAATTTTCCTGAAAGCGCAACATATCTTAAAGTTCATGAGGTTAAATATTATACATTATTCTGTAAACAAGCATCAGAATTAACTCAAGTTAACATTTTAAAGGAACCTAAGTCTTTTTTATCTTGATAACCAGAGGAAGAATGTCATTTAGAGTGATATGCATTTTGTATTTCTGTTTAAATGTATAAATTTGTTTCAATAACACGCTTAGACATGAACTTATAGTAGTTTTTGAGTAGATATTTCTTATGTGAAGTATTGCAATATCAAACATAGAGGTTGAATAATTGTTGTCAATATTTAGTATTAAATTGTTTCGCTAAAAATAAATGTTCCTAAATAGATTTATAGTCTATTTTTTAAGCAAGCGAAAAATATCAAATAATGCATAATAAAAAGTCTAAATTTGAACCAGCAATGCAAACACACTCTTGACGATAGTACTGACGTTTTAATAAATAAATATTAAATTCGAAATCAAATAAATAATTGTGTCATATTGTGTTATATGTTGACTCTATTTTGTGATAGTTCTCATTCTCATAACTGACGAAATAGATCATTAACTGAAAACATTCTGCTCCAAACTATTTTTGTAATTCTCACAAAGAATAGTCATTAAAACATATTTTGTTTAGACGTAATCAATTACGATGAGTATTCAAATGTGGCATAAGTTTACTGAACATTTGTAAACCATAGTACTTACTAAAATTGCTATAGTTCTCAAGTTTAATTCTACGTGAGATCGTGTATGAGCATTTCTTTAACTGTAAATTAAAAGATAAAAAATTCTGTCTGAGATTTTTTTATTTTTAGTAGTTTTCTAGCTAATATCAGTCTGAGACGAAAATTGTATGATATTACAACAAACCCGTTAAAACAAACGACGCGATACACAAAATCCAAACTATATCTTGAATTGAAACATTTTCTCTGTTTTTTACAATCATGACTTAACCTCATTGAAATACATCACGAATGTGAAATGAACTGTAATAAAGTATAAATTTCAACAATAAAATAATATTAAACATTGAAGAAAAAACTTCGAAAAGTATAAATGTACTTCATATTGTTTTAGAAATAACATGTATCTAAACATCTTACTCAATGAAATATCGAAACAATGTATTGTGATTAAAATTATCAAAAGGTGAAACTTTGTCTCTCCTCAGCTGACTTCATTCACAGCATATCAAACTTAAGTAACGATTCTCATGAAAACTAAAAAAATAATGAAATGTTTTATAAAGGAAATTCATTTCTTGCTCACTTTATAACAACACCATATATATATATAGATATCAGTGTATGTGATCGGTTGAATGAAGATGTTCATTATACTGAAAAGCTCAGTAAATTATCAGTCTTGACTAGCTCTCGCTTACTCCCTCACAATATTACAGACATTGGCCACGAACCCGAAAAGTTCGAAAAATCAATTCTTGAATCCTGTTCATAAATGTACAATTTCTATACCCTTTACATGTCATTTGTAAAACTCACCTTAACGATTAGCTTTAGTTGCGTGACTAGAAGAAATTAGTATAATTCCTCCCTTCTTAGCATATTTTAAGAACTCTCTACATCCAGTCGTAGATAATTTTTAAAAGAGAAATTTGAATTTAATGTTGATATTCACTATTCAATACTAAAACTTTGTCACCTAATGTTATGCAATGTCCACGTGATATCAACCACCATAACACCATTTTGAAAATACTGATAACGCATATCGAAAATCCTCTAGTATTTTCGATGCTTTGGACATTGAATACATGTTCACCCTGTTTTATTTTTCCACATCTATTAGACTTTTATTCATGCACCATAATTAGTCACTAGTATTAGGAATAATCTTGTATAAATTGATTTTGTCATTGGATCAATTCATTTAATAGTAAAGAGTAAGGCTTGCATGACGTTCCATTATTATCTGATTGGTACTGATTTGTAGAAGAGTGAGCGTATTACCTAATCACTAATTTTCTCTTTATTTCTACGTTGACTGTATCATCGTACCTTCAAATTTTACAGATAATTAATTTTTTTACTGCTACTATCCCATAGTCCTTCCAATTAATAATTACTTAATCATTCAACGTGAATTAGATAACCACAAAATTAGTATTGTAGTGTTTCTGTGTTGTAGTAAAATCATATTTTCGTGAATCATGCATAAATAAGCGTAGAGCCTTGATGAAAAACTAATTGAAAAGAAATATTTATTGGTTCATTCTATCTTTTTACTAAATTCAGTCGGAGATAATTGATTTTGTACAATGACATGATATTGATGAAATTTATTTCATAAAAACTATCTTGGTCTCGGTCATATAACGTTAAGTGTAATTTAAAAAATCATAATAAACTGATATATAGATTGAAATAAACTTATACTGAACAAGTTTGTATGAAAATAGTTTTTGTATAATAAAAGTTTTTATACATACATTACAGAACGAAAAGCATAAACTTGTATAATAATTTTTTTAAAATTGTCATTGATCAAAGAAAATTCTTTATATTTTTTTAACAGTTTGCTGAAAACTAGAACATTAAGCACAATCACTACTATTGTATTTTTGATGAAATATTTCATTTCAAAAAAAATAAAATACATTTTGTATTTATTTTTTTTTTAATAAAAAGGTTTTTTTCTCAATCAAACGGTAATATTTTATTTTAAATGCTTTAACTAGTAAGTAATTCGAAACAAAATCCTACCTAACTAGTTCGTTTGCTACTACTTCACTTATTGAAACATAGAAAAACATTCCAGCATAATACTTGTTAACTGTTATTTAATCCTGATCAGGTCAAGACACGCGGAATAAAAATGTACAGAAATTCAATTATAATAACACTTTATTGATCCATATCAAATATCATCATCTGGTTCACTGACATAGAAATGAAAAAAATGTTGCCCCAAAAGAATGTTTGTTCATAGTTTTTCTTAATCGAAAAATTATTGTTATCCTTATTCGTCTTATGTTCTCTTTGTATAAGTATCAGCTATTAGTTTACTTTGAACTGTGTAATAATACTTTATCTTACATTTATTGAACTGATGTTAAAGTTTTACAACGTTTTTGTGGGATTCTTGCCAATATCATAAAATAACAGCTTTTTGTGATTGAAATACTTTCTTATCATTTACAAAACATGATTTCAACGATACTGTATAGTGTTTTGTATATTCTTTATTTGCGAAAGGATGAACACAAACTGAATACCATGCTCAATAACAAAATTAATGATTCTCCTTAGAAATCACAAAATTAACATCAACCCTTTATATAATAATTGTCATCTCACAAGCTGAGCAAGAGGAATCTAAATTACCTTCTTATAAATTTCATAATTTTTAAGATTTTAAATTACTACAGATCATGTAAATTTTATTTATATAAAATTATTTATTTCAAACCAACAAAACAAATATTCATGCTACTAGAGCGTTAAAGTGATTCGTGTGAATTTACAACTTGTAGTGAATTAAATCATTTGACAGAAATAAATCACCCAGTTGTGTATGATATGAGAAGAACTAGAAATCAATATTAATTTCTATAAATGATTTGATGATAGTGGTTCTAGCTAAAAAAAGAAATGGTAAAACATTTTTTGACAAATATATATTTCAATACTTGAACTTATCACAAATTCAGTAACATATTTTATTAATGGTTATCATGACGCTCAATCGGTATAATCATGACTTATACAAGGAAATACATCAATCCCTCGGTAGAAAATTTAGATGATTATGACGCTTTGTATTAACAAATTCATGTGAATAGTATGGCAATTTATAATGAAGTTTATTTCTACTAAAATTTATAAATGTAGCAAGTTAGTCAGTATAGTTTCTTCACAGTACCCATCTTCGAATGCACAACTTGTGGATTTATTACATTAAAGATGGTAATTTTCGAATCGGTCGACTAACTAAACACAATATTCAGTTTCGTTAATTTTTGTATTTAGGCTTTGTTAGACCATAAAGCATTGTAAAATAGAAAATGGCTTAACAAAATACAACTTTTCTCTAAAAAAAATGGCAGTATGGAAAAATTACTCCATAACTTCAATTATTTACCGTTTAGATAAAAAAAAGCCTAACTTTTCATACTATTATGGTGAACAGATCAACTGCAGCGAATTGATTTGTTATTTGTTTCGTCAAAACAAAAACACTAGTTATTAACAGATGTCTGAAATGAATCAATTGTCTGCTGTTTTTTTTCAATTCTTCAGTATAGATTCACGACAATAAATATTTTCTTGCAAAAAAATCAATACACAGCATCTGTGATCTTGAAAGCTTTTGTAAACAATCACGACAATAACAAAATAAAAAGAAGGAGAAACTACTAATACTTTTAATGTACCACTTTATTCCACATAAATTAAAAGACTTCAGGATGATTCTAGTCTTTTAGGATATCTGACAGACCAACTTCTTTCCACCGTTGAAGAATATTTCAACTACTTGCAAATCTATTAGGCTGAATGAAATTGAATAATTGAATAATAATTGAAAATTTGACAAGGCAGACACTATATACACCTGAATACTCTGAAATTAATACTTAAACATTACTAAAATGGGATTTCGTCTACGAACTCCATCATTAGATTCGATGTACATTAACAGATGTCTTTTTATCAATTAAAGGATCTTAAATAAAGTTGTCGATTGTGCAGACATCAATTCTAATATTGATTATCAGTACATTTTATTCAGTATATATATTCCACAAGTAAAGCTTCAGTTTGAAATTGACATGGATTAGTGGATTACATCTTTTACTATTTTAACAAATTTCAACTGCAGTCAGGTTCAGCAGTCAATTCAGTTGAAATTTGTTTAAAGTCATGCTATCTTTACTGTAAACATTAAACAAGTCAAAAACAACGTAACTGTTAAGATTTATGCTTAAGTGAAACCTTTAAAAGTTTCACAAATTGATCACCATCCATAAGGCAAACATAGGATGATATTTTTACTAAATCAAAGCCAGCTATTTGAGTAAGAATAGAAATGACTTTGGTTTTGCATAAACTCAACCAAGTAGTCTACAAGTTACCAGTTTGTCCTTTGTAATTTATCCATATTTTGAAAATAAAGCTGAATACAATAAATAAATACATAATGTGACATTTACTAAGATATGGAAACTGTATGAAATATATTAACTAGCAGCTATTAATTATACCATTTTAAATACTCTTATAAAATGTGGTTTGAATTTGTAATAAAACTAACTAAACTATATTTTAAAAAGTTTGAACAAATATCATACATTTGATTGACACTTTTAATCATCAACAGTTATCTTTTGTGTAATTTGCTATTTTAGTTCATACTCGTTTCAGTTAAATTTCGTCCTGAAATGTTCGGTAAAATACAAATTCTAATTTTTATGCTGTCAATTATTCTCTACACTATGCAAACAGGTGAGTAAAAAAGAAGAAATTCATTATTATCTGACGATACGAAATTATGTAACATATCCGTTTGTTAAATCATTCAAACAAACGGATTTAAGTTTGAATATCGAATATAGATATTCTGAATGGTGAGTGATGTGTTGCAGGTGGCAATAAACACTGATGCTATATGTGACAGTCTTTACGATCAATTTTCCTGGGTTTTTTTTAAGCAAACGAAAATAAAGGTCAACCGGAATAGAAATTTAATAGGATTTATGAACACACAGTTCAATAATAACACAAGGTCACGGAAGCACTATAATTATTCTAGTTAATATAGAAAACTGACAACAACAATCATGCTTTATTTTGAGACAAAAAGCTTGATCTTTGATACAAAGCATTTTTATACTGTAGCTTCATTACTGCACTCAGCTTCTTATATGGTTTCCATAAACTACATCTGTAGAACATATATCGAATAGCTGATTAGTTACTGAACAATAATAAAGTCTGTGACTACGAAAAATAATTTATTCATTATTGTAGGGGTATTCACTGTCCTGTCCTAAAACAAAGAACATTTTTGACAGTTTTCAGAAGATTTTAAGTGACAGAAATACAATGTATGTACTTACAACACATATCATATACTTTCATAGAGCGATAACTTGTACAATACAAATCATTAGCTTCACAAATCTAAATGCAGTTGAAGTTCGATGTCTACAGTTAGTTGACAGAATGTTATAGAAAAATTTGGATAAAGCCGTTATTGGACGTAAAAGGAAGGTATTCTAGATATCATTGAAGTATACTTTAGATGATATTAGTTCGTAAATAGTATCATAAAATCAATAACATAGTACTTCTAATTGTTCACATCATATTGAATCGTATAAATATCCAACATCATGCAGTACGATTTGTGAATAATATCAACATTATTATCGTATAACCTTTTGTGTTATAGTTTCATTTGTTCAGTTTGTGTGCATCTAAACTGAAAGTCATGATAAGTTCCAATCATGTCACGATCTTTCATGACTCAACGTAAACAGCTATCGTTCAGTTGTTGACAACTATGAATTGTTTTAACTCAACTTATCAGTGTAGTTTTCTACTGTGTATAGTGTTCCACATTATATAAAATGACAAATTCACAGGGCCTTACATAGTTCATAATTGTTTCTAAAACCAACGTGTATTGATTACTTTCGTAACCAAAACAATCACTGTAATTGGTCATTTTGTGTTCAGTATACACTTTGTGACAGAGCTTCGTTTCGGTTCATCGACTGAGCACAATATACTTAAATGATATAGTTTTACTAATATCTGAAGATAACTTCACTAATAAACTGAGCTCATATGGGGAGACTGAAACAATGAGAGGAGTGGAATGATTATACATGACATACTTGATTTTCTCTTTAGTGTACACTAAAAAATATTGACGGGATTTAAACTGTATCTATCAAGTGTCACGACAATTATAATCTTTACAAACGACTGAGCTGAACTTAATTCTTCATATCACTTCCATGAATGAACGATTCTTCACAACAGTCAATCAACACCATAAGTGATAACTAATCCTCTCTTGATAACTGAATATCATAAATCATATCTTTTCATATGAACTTCAGTGATATTTCTCGAAGCTAATCAATAGTGAATGTATATACTTATTATTCATTTTGAAAACAGTTTTTAGCACTGAATAGCATGACTTAACATATCAGTGTTTATTATAATTTTCTTAATAGTGTTTAAAGTATTGCCATGTTAGACAAAGTGAATTACACATTTCAGCAATATCTTGCCAGATTAACCGGGCGATAAATGAGATCATTGATTATTGATATTAATTAATCAGTTAAATTCTTTTTATTGTATTTTTTTTCATTTTATTATTGCCTAAGCTAATAAAATAAATGGAGAACCAATGCGTCGATGGTATCCTGTAGGAGTTGACGGCGCCAGAAAACCTTCATTCAGTCAAGGTGATAACGTTGCTGAATTCGAACTACCTTATAATGGTGATCAATATGATCAAGAGGTTTGGAAGCGAGCTGTCCGATTAATGAGACTTGGTTGATTACAATTAAATTGACTGAATAACAAATCTGAATTATTATAAATGTTCATTAAATAAGAATTTATAAAACATTTATTCATTAAATTTTTTTTTGATATTAAGTGAATTGTTTTATCAGAACCATGAATTCTGCATTATTAGTCAATAAAAATATTCCGTATTATAGATACTTTTATGAAGATTATTATAAATCAGTTAGCGAAAAGTTTTGTTCCAATAAATACTCAACAACTAACTCAATGGGGAATTACTGCACGGTTCCAACTAAGTAACATTTAAATAAATTCATCGACATGATAAGTTCGAGAAAAACCAAGTTAGTTGTTTATAAATATGCAAGGCATATAACAAGAATGAAAAAAATTGGACTATGACAATACAATTTAAACGAAAAGCTGAAAACTTTTTTTCAAATGCATGTTGATACATACAAATATTTGAACTAACAGAACTAAAATCATACTCAAAATAATATCAGTAAACGAAGAAGGAGAAAATGATATGTAATAATGTGAATAAGGTTAATAAGCCTTAATGATTAACCTGTGAATTTATTTCTATCAGTCACTCTTGAGACAATTTTAACGTCTACCAAATACATGTGACATGTTTAGTAAGCCTAACTGTTATCTACCGCATAACATCTTCATGATTTGCACAGAAATGAGTTAAAGATAAAACTACATTCTATCAAGCTCAGACATGACCTCGACTGCTGATTTACTACATGTCAATGCGAAGGTATAGTGATCGATAATCATCTCCCTCCGATCGACGAAATAACAATTAGACTAGATTTTCTCTGAAGATATGCATGTTTTTAAAACTGAGCGTCACTTATTTAGGAAAAATGATTTCTCTAATTCCAGTTAAACCAAACCTAGTCATGAGAAAATCCGTTACAGAAAGACATCACCTTTGCTGGTTTCACCTTGACCATAGAGTACTGGAAATTAAATATGCGATTTGGGAAGACTAATCAGTTATCTGTCACGCTGATTTGTGTCTCGAATCTAACAATATCTGCTGATCGGCAGTAACTTTTCCACAACCTTATTAGTCAATTTACTCACAATTTCATTCCCAAAAACAATAACTCTTCAAATAGTTCTGTATACAACTATAAATGAAATTCCTAGAAATAGTTAATTCTTGCAAATTATACACTGGAAACTAATCCCATCTTATTTGATTAACCAAGCATGATTTAATAAAGGATTAGATGAAAGGTGTATTAATAAATTTAATCAAAATCTGAAAAGCTTGTGAGTAAACGACTGTCTGACTTATAATACACTGGCTTATTCAAGTCAATATCTAAAACACATATTTCAAAATAAATGTTAAACGTTTGCATTATTTCAATGTTTAAACGATAACATAATATATACTACTGAAAACATACACAACGCTTAGATTATATCTCAACACATTTGTTAGTAATTCAAGACTATCTAATCTGTCAGTAATTCTGATATGACAATTTATATCCTAGCACAAAGAGGCTGATCTTTACATCTGAAAATCCTTAGTAAAACCCCTACAGTAACGGTTCGCGCACTGTGTCAGATATCCAAATGCAGGCATATAGTCTTATTGTGTAGCTCACAGTGGTAAAATAAAGTTCTGACTAACTTTGTAGATTGTCTTAACTGTTGAAAAATGTCTATTATTCGTCAGCCTTATTTATCCTAACTAAAAACTTTAATTTTATACCACTAACAGCAGGTACTTATCAAAGAACATAACAAGAAAAGAAATTCTAGAAAATGACTGTCGATTGATGAAATGGAATCCAACGAAAACAATATTTTCAGACAAAAAAATAAGGCTAACCTGAAAACGACTGTTTTTTCTTCATTGGTAACGATGAATTTTAAGAGTTCGACCAAGAATATATAAACAAAGTAGTTCATTTAAGTTCTATAGACGTGTATACCGTGTATGATTACAAGTTTATTTGTAAATGACTTTCTGCACACTCGATAAATCACTATTCTGATCTACTTTTGTGATATAAAATCAATAAACACTTTTCAAATGTTAGTTTTATACCATCTAGACATTGTTTCTTTATGACAAATTTTATTCTGAAAATGAAGATATCTTTGTTTTGCATACAGACACATTGAAACAATCTGTTTCACTAAAAAACATTAATAACAGACCACGAAAAGCTAAGATGATTACAGTAAATATATATATATATATATATATATATATATATATATATATATATATATATATATATAATGGTTAAATAAAGGATAAAAACATCTGAAGATATAGGGAACATTTGAATCTAGATAAGTTCAATAATTCATTTGTCATTATCAGTCACCAGCTATAGATAAACAGAATTGTTTTTATGTAATATAGTCTTTAATATCTGGGTCAATGATACTATCCGACTGCCTAAATAAAAATGAAAGAAGTTAGAAGAGACTTGAATGTTGAGTGATTTCATCATTACTCATGTTACACCTATGTAGTATGAATTATATTTCACTTCTCTATTTAACACTGTGTCTATTACGATATTAAATGGAAATATTTGGAGGACACGGTTGTTTCAGCTAAATTAGCTCCCATTTCAATTTTTACTCACACAAAGATGGAGGCTAACACCCAAAGTAACTTCAGTGAGCCCATTTCAGTTCGTTTCGACCCCGAGGAATTCGGATGCTAATTTACTTGTTTCCTGACGAATCGTCTTCTCCAACGTATTTTATATAATAAATAATAGTATGTTACTCCTTCCCTACCTTATACTGCCCAGTAGACAAAGAATGCAGCATATAGATTTTAAACTAAGCTGACTTTAGATGGCTTGTATCATTAATCTTTTATTTACCTTTATGCCTCATAGGTGATCTTTTTTGAAATGGTTCTAGAATCCCGATAATATTGTTAAATCTACTAATTGATTAGTGTTATGCAATTTCAAAACAGATTCCCTTCATATATGTTTATAACTCGTAGCTGTTCTGTGAAAGTGATCACTTGTGGTTCTAAACATCAGTGGGGAGTTTCAAACAACCAAAATATCAACTTCTTTAGTTTAAATACTGTTTCAAAATATATGCAAAAGTAAATCACTTTCTATGATCCGCATTGCTCTTGCTCCATATGCCTTTTAATTTAGCGAGAGACATCGGCTTTAAATGAAACTATCTTGGTTTAATTTAATTTAATTTTTCACGTCTATGTTATGCTTCCTTCATCTCACTCAAAACATTCAAAGTTAATAATAATCAAGACATGATAACTCTGGTTTGATCAGTACAGTTACTACTTACTTACTTACTTATTTACTTACTTACTTACGCATGTCACCCATAATGGAGCATAAACTGCCTACCCGAATAGGTTGACAGTTGTAATTTAGAAAAGAAAAAGTAAGCCCAATTAGCAATTTTTTTTCAAAGAGATAAACTATTTCACGATCAAAATGTCTACTGGTACTTTATGCTCAGTTATAATAATAATTATTATTTATGCAAAAATATATGAATATGACATGAAAATAACGTCATTTTCCAATGACAAATAAAAAAATTTACTAAATAATCAATAACAACTTTTAACACATTTTCTAGCTTTCAAATAAAATACACAAATACAAATCCCACTCGAACATATAAACTGACAATTTCTTTCTGAAATTATAATATTTTATTATTTAGAATTAAAGAAATTGTAAATTTTATTCTGAGTTTATAACAAAAAAAAACAAAAACTATTGTTTTCTAACAAAACTTATGAATCAATATATACATATTTACTGAATCGAAGAGTTTATACTTATCGCAGTACAGTTGTATACGTCAGACAAATCGTGAATAAAAAGAAACATATATCCTGAATCTGATAGCTAGCTATTGTAAAAAATGTGTATTTGGTTATATATATATATATATAAAATGCAGAACGAAAATCAGTTGAATGTTCTTAAATTTTTTCAATGTCATATTGCAAGGCTAAAAAAAACTCTAATAGAATGAATGCTTTACAAGCTGTAAAGAATGCTAAGAGAACTTGTTTCAGAAATTATTATTTGTACAAAAACGAGACAAAATAGAATCTACCAAATATTAATTTACTTTAATGTAAACTATTGTGTAATATAGATTGTATATCATGACAAGGAAACGATAAACTGAAAAACTTAAAAAATGAATCACATCCTCCTAATAATTTTTTCTTAATTTTTGGTTAATACTAATTTATTTCAATGTTTAATCGTTGAACTGAATCAAATCACTTTGTTTCAGTACAAAATGTAGTTTGTTCATAACTGTTCCAACTTCAAACATTTTTACAAAAAGTTCACATTATCGCTGCGATATAATTATATTTTAATTTTCTCAATAACAAATACAATATCAAAGTAACAGTAACATAGGATTTGTTTAATTTCATACCTTCGGATAATTTACAGATGTTTTGGAAAGAATTACTTTTAAAGAGATTTTTTGATTTTGTTTTTTTGTGCAACAGTTGGACAATTTGCTTTCGGAATTTAGTAAAAGTTACTCATCTAATTGAAATAACTTTGAAGTCTAGTTTCTCTTTAAAGTTACAACATTCACTTTTGAATGCATAAAGCACTAACGTACATTTTCATACTATTCATTGTAAATATATATATATATATATATATATTTTTAGATATATAATAAATAGACTGAGAATGAAGTGTGATTGCATTTACATGAAAAAGTATGTATATACATTTGTCTAGAAAGAGATAGTTTAAAACCTTTTTATGTTACAACACAAAGCTTGAACAACCAAAATCCGAAACTACTTTTATAAATATAAAGAGATAGATTGCTGTTTAACTCGAGTTCACATCATAAATAATGTACAAGACACAAATTGTCTTTAATATTCAGAAAGTCAATGCAAATGAAAACAACAATGTCACACTGAGTTTCTAGTACTCGATAAAAATTATGAAACGATCTAGTAAGATTTAAAAGTACCGGCAAGATCTTAAATAATCGAGAGTTCCTGGTTTAAAATGAGTTTGATAATACACAATGTTTAACTGAAAGCGACTAGTAGCTTTACTCAGTTACTAAATTTATTCAAGCACTTGTGTTTTCAGTACTTTGAAACGATGTCGAAGTTTGGATACAGCAGAAATAGCTTATAAA